AATGAGATCCTCCAGAATATTCGAATCATCAAGTATTTCGCCTGGGAGCAGCGTTTTGAGGACATCGTCAATGAGAAGCGAAAGGCGGAGTTGAAGGCTTTGCGTTTTCGGTACATAATCTGGTCTACGGCGGCAACTGTCTGGTATGGCACGCCCATCCTTATCACGTTCGCCTCATTCTTCTTGTACACAGTGGTGGAGGGAAAGAAGTTGACCCCGTCAATCGCATTCCCGGCCCTGTCGATGTTCTCTTTGCTCCGCGTCCCTCTAGACCAGTTGGCCGACATGGTGGCTCACGTTCAAGAGTCCAAGGTCTCCCTTGATCGTGTTGACACTTATTTGAATGAAGAAGAGACCCAGAAGTACCGTCAACTCGAGGAGGAGTCTGACGGACAACCGCCCAAGATCGCGTTGGAAAATGCTACCCTTACCTGGGGATCTGCCCAGGGTCAATACAAGGATGATCCGTCGGACGAGGTTGCCGAAGGTTTCCGTCTGATCAATATGGACGTGGACTTCCAGATTGGCAAACTCAACCTGATTACTGGCCCGACTGGCTCTGGAAAGACGTCGCTGCTTATGGCGCTTCTCGGCGAAATGAAGCTTCTGCAAGGAAAGGTTCACTTGCCTGGAGGCACGGCTAACCGCTCGGAACTCCCAGTTGATCCTCAGACAGGTCTCATCGAAAGCGTTGCCTACTGCGCACAGGAAGCGTGGCTTGTGAATGCTACTGTCAAGGATAACATTGTGTTTGCCTCCCCCTTTGATCAACGTCGGTATAATGCTGTAATCAAGGCCTGTGCCTTGGAGCGGGACCTGTCAATTCTCGATGCAGGCGACCAGACCCTTGTGGGAGAAAAGGGCATCAGCCTTTCGGGAGGCCAGAAACAGAGAATATCGCTTGCGCGCGCTGTGTACAGCAGAGCTCGTCACTTGCTTCTGGATGATTGTTTGAGTGCAGTTGACTCGCACACCGCTAAGCACATCTTCCGCCAGGCCTTGACCGGTCCCTTGATGATGAACCGGACTTGTGTTCTGGTAACACACAATGTTGCTTTAACCGTGTTCGAAGCAGCCCATGTCATTGCTCTTGATAACGGTAAAATCATTGCCCAGGGTCCTCCAGACGAAGTGGCGGCATCTGGTGCGTTGGGTGATGAACTACTCAAATCCCGACCAACTTCCAGGACTACTACTCCTCGTCCTTCTCGCAGAACTTCGGACCATGCAGAGCAAGATGACGAATCTCTTACGAACGGAAATGCCACCAATGCCCTTAACGGAAAGGCCAAGGAGAGTTCCGACTCTAAGCTGGTAGAGTCTAAGGCTGTCGGCAGTATCAAGTTGTCTACAGTTAAGATGTATCTTCAATCGATGGGATCCTGGCGCTACTGGATCGTGGCTGTGCTTGTTTTCTGCATGCAACAACTCGGGTCTGTATCGACTAATATTTGGATCAGACAATGGGCCAATTCTTACCAGACTGAGGAAGTCGGTGCGGATCCCGGTGACTACGCGGCGATGGCAGCCTTCAAGATCCCGTCTTTCAATGTTGGTGGTGTTCCTCGTACATCTACTTTCAGCGCACCCCAGTTTGGTACGCAGAGTGTGAACGCCAATGGCAATGGGAATGTCAACGTATCATATTATCTCGGTGTCTACGCATTACTGGGAGTTGCTTTCGTCGCTATCTCGCTAGTAAGGGAGGGTGTCCTATTCTGGGGTTCTCTGAACGCTTCTTTCAAGATCCACCAACGCCTGCTGAGATCGGTCATGCATGCAAAGTTCAAGTTCTTCGATTCGACCCCCCTGGGCCAGCTGATGAATCGCTTTTCTAAGGATGTGGAATCCGTCGATCAGGAAGTCGCACCTGTAGCTATAGGCATGCTCCATAGTCTGGCATCCGTCGTGATGATTGTCATTCTCATTTCAGTCATCACACCCGGTTTCCTGATCGCGGGTATCTTCATCACCTTGGTTTATGTCGCCCTCGGTGCCGTCTACCTGAATGCTTCTCGCGATCTCAAACGACTTGAGTCCGTGCAGCGAAGTCCTCTGTACCAGCAATTTGGCGAGACCTTGAACGGCATTGTTACCATCCGTGCCTATGGCGACGGACCGAGATTCATCGTTGACAACCACCGTCGTATCAACGCCTACAACCGTCCTCACATTTATCTGTGGGCGAGCAACCGCTGGCTGGCACTTCGGGTCGATGTAACAGGAGCCTTGGTGTCATTCTTCACCGCTGTTTTTGTTCTGATCAACATTGGAAAGATTGATGCCGGTGCTGCTGGACTTTCGCTGACATACGCAGTCACGTTCACCGAGAACGTTCTTTGGCTAGTCCGGTTGTACTCGGAGGTTCAACAGAACATGAATTCTGTCGAACGTGTCAGGGAGTACCTCGAAGTCGAGCAAGAGGCAGATGCAGTCATACCTGACTCTAGACCGCCGGCCAACTGGCCCAGCGGCGGCGCGGTCGACTTCATTGGATATACAACTCGGTATCGACCGGACCTTGACCCCGTTCTCAGGAATGTCTCGTTCAGCGTGCAACCTGGAGAGAAGGTCGGTATCGTCGGCCGCACCGGTGCTGGCAAGAGCTCGCTTGCTCTGGCGCTTTTCCGTGGTCTCGAAGCTGAAAAGGGCCGCATCGTCATTGACGGCGTGGACACCAGCGCAATCGGTCTCCGTGACTTGCGAGAGTCGATCACCATCGTTCCTCAAGATCCTACTCTGTTCACAGGAACTATCCGCAGCAACCTTGACCCGTTCGACCTCTTCACGGATGAGCAGATCTTTACTGCCCTGAAACGTGTGCACCTTATTGGCCCGGGTACCTCTGGCACCGCGACCCCAATGACCACTAGTACGCTCGCAGAGCCCAGTTCCGCAACCCCCACCGGGGTCACTAGTAGCGGCATCCTGGACAACAAGAACATCTTCCTCAACCTGGACACTGCTGTCTCCGAATCCGGGTCCAACCTGTCCCAAGGCCAGCGACAACTCTTGTGTCTTGCACGTGCGCTACTCAAGAACCCGAAGGTCCTGATGATGGACGAAGCCACCGCCTCTATAGACTACAACACCGACTCCAAAATCCAGGAAACCCTCCGGGAACTCCGGGAAAGCACCATCATCACCATTGCGCACCGTCTACAGACAATCATCGACTACGATAAGGTCTTGGTCCTCGACCACGGCCGAGTCATCGAGTACGACCACCCCTGGACATTAATAAACAAGGGCGACGGCCTCTTCCGGAGCATGTGCGAAAACAGTGGAAACATGGATAGTCTTCTGGAAGGAGCCAAGAAAGCCTGGGATCATAAAAATAGTGGTAATGACTCATAGATCGCCTCCTTCCTGCTTTATTCATTCTACTATTACTAGGGACCTCATAAAAGTTCGCACATATTGAAAAGGCCCTTGTTACACATATTTATCTATCAATCCTGTTTATTATTAACTGTGTGTAAGCTGGCGCATGGGGTATTTCTACCATTGCTATTCTATTTTCTATTCATTTTCCATTATTTCCCTTCTTCTTTTTCTTATACATTCGTTATTGTGCCTGAGAAAAAAAGAGAACTGCAGGCTTTACTAGTCCTATTTGCCTTGTTTCCGTATCCCAAAATTTGCTTGACTGTGACTATATAGAGAATATACTATGTTCATATAACCCGCTACCCCTCTATGCTCATAAGCGACCACATACATACCACAGCCACGACGTGATCCATGGACACAAGAATTAGGCAACAGTGAAGAAATCAAGCTGTACGAAGGGGGAACCCTCCTCCCCGAAAAGTGTAATTGTGAAAAGAGAGAAAAACTGCATAGAGACCCCTTCATCCACCGATAAGAACGCACAAAATATCGCCACTTGCTTTGCACAACCGGGCATCATGGATACTGATTCATGGACCCTGCAATTACAAAAGTAATTAAGTCACTGGACCCTTTGACATCCGAGCTCCGAACAGGAAAACAAGGTGTGCTTGGCATGCATGCGACCTAACCGGGAAAGGACTAGTTCGGATTAAGTTTATTTTCTTTGCCGCCGAGATCCGATCCGGGAGTGAGTGGATGACACCAGACACACGGGGATCATCATCGATTCATTCCATCGCTAGATAGTCTAGTAGTACTTACGGCTACGGAGTAAATAAATTGATAAATTGTCTCATCTAGAGATTAGTTCGTAATCTTGGCTTTTATGTGATTTTGATCGTGTGATGAAATGAATCCTTAACTCGCAATACAAGCCACCTCTCCCCGGTGCCAGTACCAGTAAGTAAGTAAATGAGGAGGTAGGTTAGTTGGAGTACCGCTCTTCTCCGGCCGGGACCGTCCTTGATGTATGTATGCCTGTAATTTCCCTTTTCCGTTCATATTCTTTTTTCTGGATGATATCATTCGATATTAAGTGGAAGACACAAGACTTCCATGATATCACCACAGCAAGATAAGTTTGAAGATTAAACGCACAAGAGACCATGGGTCGACCGAACACCGGGTTCGAAGTTTAATGGGATGGTATTTCCGCAATTCCCCGGAAGAAACCGACCTATTGAATGAGAGGTAGTCTAGGCGGTGCATTGTCTGGAGGCGAAACTCTTTCTCTCTTTCCTTTTCTCCCTTGTTGTATGTGAGACAAGGTTTGTCAATAGGCTTTGGCCGGCCATGTCATGATGCAAGTGATGCAAGTCGAGGCTCCGCTTCTGTTGAGATTTTGACAGGGCCGCGCGTTTCGACAGGGCTGGATTTGCATTTCATCATATCGTTGCATTCAGTAGTTTTTGTAAGCATGGAGTGTTGACGGAAGCTATAAGAATAGCTCGTGCTGGTTCTTGCCGGCTGAAAGTTTCGCGGTTTTTTTCTCGCAGGAAAGTTGATCGCGACTACTGTGTTGGATATACTATACTTTTTATCGGATCCATAAGACAAGGAAACATCGCTCAGAACATCCAATCGAAGCCAATTTACTCGGCACGATGCGCATTTTCTCCGCCTTGAACGGCCTGCTCCTGGCAGGAGCCGCTGCGGCTCAGAGCTGCTCTCTTCAGTCAAACGAATCTCAAGTCGTTGACTATGGCTACGCGCTCTCTTTCTTCCTCGACCGCTTCTATTCGTCGATCCCGGTCAATCAGACCTTCTTGAGCAGCTCCCAGAATGGCTCCAACTCGCAGTACTTCACCAACTTCCAGGGTATTCAGAGACAGAACCGTCTGGGTGTGCGTGCTGTGCAACAACTTGGCTCGAAGCTGTCTGGCTGGACCCCTCAGAATTGCAGCTTCACCTTCCCAAGTGCCAGTGACGCCGATTCCTTTGTGCAGAACGCGCTCCAGTTGGAGTCAACAGTTGCTGGAGCGTACATTGCCCTGGCTGGTTATACCCAGGCCCCCGAGGCTTCGTTCTTGTGGGCTCGTTTGGCTGCTGAGCACACTGCTCACGCTTACTATATCGCGAGCCAGAACCAGACCATTCTCTTCCCGACGAACAGCTCTTCGCTGGTGCCTGCATACAGTCCGGGATACGTTCTTTCCAACGGTACTGGTCCCGGCCAGCTTGGCTCATACTTCCAAGGCTGCGTCACTGCTCCTCCAGTTCCCTGCGGCCAGACCCTGTTCATCGGACCTCTTACTGCCACACTCGGTGCGAACGTCTCCGCAAGCGCAGCTGCTTCAAGCTCGGCCTCGCTGTCTGCATCCGCCACTCCTTCGCCCAGCTTTGCGAGGAGGTTCTTCTAGATTCGGTGCTGTATTCAATAGTGGCGCTTGGCACCATCAATGAAGTCCAAGATCGTGTGGTATCTCGGAACAATCACTGCACAAAGATATTCGGTACAACATTGAGGAGGAGAGGTAATAACTTGGAGATGGCGTCTGTTAATAATGCCTTAATGCCCAATTCTGGATTAATGTAATTTGACAATCTATGAACTTGACGTGTAATGTATGATCGCCTGAATAGTATATTGCCACTATATTGCACTTGTATAAATTGTTAATATACCATGTCTAATCGTAGCACTAAATCTCATGACTTTATGTTCGTTAATGAGTTCGTAAATTCGCATAGTCGATACACCTGCGAGCGTTGAGATTCGAAGCCCCGTCTCTCAAGCAAAGCAGTGCCGCGAGAGAAGAGAGAGATGCTAGCGCTGATCTTGATGACGTGGAACTAGCAAGACACATAAGCCTACTTAGCATTGGAAGTCGCTATACTCAGCACCTACCTCGCTCCAATTAAAATCATGCCTCCGCTTTCACGTTGGTCGCGAAGGTATAGGACAGAACCTGAGGTACCACATGGTGCAACTTCACACCAGAGCTTTGCGGCAACCCACCCGTGGAAAAGCACCCGCTTTTATGTAGGTAAGAGGATGTGAATCCACTGTATGGTGATTGAAGAGAATGTTGGGTTCTAACCGAGAACGTGTTCTTGTCTAACCAGGTTGAATGAATGCGAGATACCGCTCTAGGCTCTCCCCAAGTACGTTGATGAATGGCCACTGGGTATTCTTCCGAAAGAGTCGAGCCCAAAGCTTGATGACAGCCAATCCAAGACTTCCGGGATCCTGGCTAGGGAACGATTCCCCGTCTTCAAGATCCATTGATTCGTAAGCTTCTTGTACAATGCAACGCGTCCAGTGTAAGATCCGATTCTCGTTCTCTAAAGTCCATATTCATGTTAGCAAGCCTTCGATCGTTGTTGGAGTCTATATTCTTTTACGGGGAATCATACCGCTCAAAGCTTGGCTGCTGCCAGTTTCAGCCAGGGACATAAGCCATTTGCTGAGAAGAACAGCGCACTCTAGACTAGCAAGTGAGTGACGAACACTCCAAAAGAAGGCTTGACTGCGCGCCACGTGGTCGATACCCAGGCGTACGGGAATGCTCAGCGCGTGTGCAGAATAAATGAGGGCAGGTGTCAACCTATAGCTCCTTCCTGGTCGCGGCGATCTGTGTATCGCGGTGGCTATACGATATGGATCCCGTGTCTCCAACTGACGATGCGGTCCAAGATTGAGAGACAAGCGGACATATGCCAAACCCAAGAGCGAACTGGAAGTGAACGGAATCGGTCCATTCTCATTATGCGGGTCAAGACTAGATTCGGGGGCTTGTTGCCAAACTGAAGTCCAGGACCGGAGTGCTCTCCTGATTAGACGCGTCAACCGTTAGTCATGTGAAGGTCAGGAGGGTAGTCCAAATGCGGATTTGCTAGACAGAAGAACTCACTCTAACTTATTCAACTCCTCGGTCGGAAGTGAGAATGACTGATCCCCATTCGGAATAGATAGCTCGCTCACAAGATGAATGCGTTGAAGTAGGCCATGAAGCAGAATATAATTACCCAAAGGCGCAGGGATCGGATCTAGAAGTACTGGATTTCGTGAAGGTTGCAGCAATAGTGCCAAAGCATCCTGAAAGAATAGTTGCTGAGAGTCCACCTCCTTTTGAGCGGCCTCCCAGTCGTGGGCTGTGGCGGCTTTCCATTCCGGCGTGGAACACGGGAGACGCAGATGCACTTCACTACTGCGGAGCACCGGGTAAATGTTGTATGCGATACTATGAACGTGAACGAAGCAAAAGGAAATGAATCGAGTGCGTCTTATAGATTCCTCTTCGGCCCATTCATGCCACTGCAAAGGAGAATGCCGCGGGGCAACTGTAATGTTCTCCATGAGCCCAAGTTCTCGCAAGCACCGAACGAGCAGATTCTGTAGGCCAAACGCTTCTTGAACAAGCTCGGCCTTCTCCCATGTAGAGTACCCCATCAAAGCTAACAGGGTGCGAATAGTTTCGATTCTCCTCCAAGCGTTCATTCCTGCGGCAAACTCTGGCGACGAGAGTAACGGATCCTGGCCCGAGCGCTGAGATGAGTCCCGGATACTGTTCAATGGTATCTGAAGGATTGAATTAAAGGGTGGTAAACTTGACTCCTTCGACAGTCGGTATAATACTATTGCCTTGGCTGCATAAAAGAGTCTCTCAGCATTACGGTGCTCGAAGCGGTATTGAGCGCCTATTGTCATGAGAGCTAGAATGAGCTCTGGAGCTCGGTCGTTGACCCGGAATGTCGGTACATGGAGAAAAGGAAGATGCGTATGGAAGCCAGAAAAGAAGGAAGTCAAGTATCTTGTCAACGTATGACGCGAAGGTAAGACAAAATCTGGTATGAGATAACGGAACTCGTCCAAGGAGGCCGCCAGACGCTGCCGCTGCTCTTCTGTAACTTTGAGCGATATTGGGCTCTTGCTAATTTGAGGAGGTTCTATATACTAGTTAGTACAAGGGTCCGGTTGTGATTTCTCTTTTATGTCTTCAAGTGCTCATACCGTAGTCAGATACAGATGCGAAGCTCTGGTCTCCTGGAGGTACGGACGGCAACCACGACCGGAAAGGCGAGTCGGCCCGTGATCTCTCAGACTGGCGCGGACGCGATGAGGATTCGTGTTGTTCCCCAGAACTTCGGCTAAACTCGGGTTGTTCAGTTGAAACGGGGTTTTGAATCTGAGACATGTCCCCAAATGTTGGCACCCACTCTGACGGGAGACCTATCGAGTCCAGAAAATGCGTGAAATCCTGGAAATGATTCAGCTCCTCATGTAGGTATGGGATCGGTTGGGCTGATAGCATGTTAGCCGTGCGCGCTTCTCAGAGGGATGAGAAGCTCATTACCTGGAGGTGGTGCATGTCGGTAATTGCCCGGAAGAAGAAGCTGCGCAGCTTCCAAAATCTCCGCATCGTGGCCGACTGCGCCGGCATGCGCACCAAGTTCACCTGCACTGCTAGTCCCCGTATTTAGAACAGCATTGCGATCCTGCTCAATGTATGGCCCACGTTGCTGTCCTGCCCACTGTTCTGCAATCGGCGGCATGGGGATAGGAACATCTGGACGCGGTGTTGGTTGAACATTGTTATAGTTGGGTGGGATAGTGGTAGGCTCTGAAGTCCCGGCTCTATTGGCATGGTCCAAAGCTTCGTGATCCGGTTGCGAATTCGGCGAAACCAGACCACTGGTACTTTGATGTGCAATGGTCGTGTGTCGCTTCAACAGATCTCGTCGGGTGAATGCGGAGCCACAGAAGCATATGTACGGTTTTTCTTTGGTGTCTGAATGTGCACAGGGCCTTAACTTAGCATGCGGAATTATTCTAGACAATGCAAGAATCCAGACACCACTAGACTAGCTGGATTTGCTCAAAGATGATGCGACTTACGTGTGCGAACATGTCGCTCCAAATGTTCCGTCCTTCTGAAACTGCGCCCGCAATGGACACAGACCCGAGTTTTGGCTCCAGCACTCGAGCGACGAGAGCCCCGAGAAGGTTGTGAAGGAGACTGGGACAGCATCAAGTCATTTGGAGGCGAAGGAATGACCGGAGTATACAGATAAGATGTCGCGACCTCTCCAATTGGAGACACCAGGTACTAGGGGAGAAGAGACTAGCTGTGGAGGATGGTGAGGAAAGAAAAGGAAATGAGTGAGTGACTCCAACCGACGGTGCCGAATCGGCTGCCCCCAACGCCACTTTGGGAGAGTTGACCCCACTTGCCCGATAAGCTGTTCTTTCTCCAACCCGGTCGGTCAGCTGTTGCTTGCTAAGAAAGGATGTAGTATATATTGACAACATCATCATGAGACCAATGCGCGATGAGTGTCTCGACTTCAATCTCTTGAGCTGTCCTGTCCTCAAAGTGAAGTTTCGATTCTCTTGTTCACGATAATAGTTGCCCGCGGATATGACGCAAACTTGGACCTTTCCGGGAGTTGCCGTTGTCACAGGAGCCGGTGGTACAGGTATACCTTCGTAAAAGTCTATCGCGGGGAAAGAAAAAGCAAAAAATAACGGCTTCGCAGGCATCGGTGCAGCCACAGCAAAAGCGTTTGCTTTGGCAGGATGTGAAAGAATCGCAATCACGGATCTCAATCCTGCCTCTTTAGATCAGACCCGGGAGGCTATCCTCGCTTCCTACCCTCAGACGCGTCTTCTAGTCAAGGCGGGCGACATATCCAATGAGAGCTTTGTCGAGTCATTCATCCGCGAGGTGGTGGATGCCTTTGGACGGCTAGATTATGCGGTCAATTGCGCCGGAATCCTAGGAGATGCCATGCGAACAACCGAGACATCAACGGCGGTATTTGACCATATCAACAACATCAATTATCGGGGTGCTTGGTTCTGTTCTAGAGCAGAGTTGAGACAAATGGTGGCACAAGATCCCTTACCGAGCCATGATCCGAATCGCGCTCCTCAGCGAGGGGCTATTGTGAATGTTGCAAGTCAGCTGGGCATTGTGGGACGCCCTAGTGCTCGTAAGTCCGATTTCTATCCCATTGCCCAATTCTTCAGTCAACGCTCTTTGGTGTGAGCTAACTGCGTCGGATTTGCTTCTAGCTGCGTATTGTAGCTCCAAGGCTGCTGTCATTGCGATGACCCGCTCCGATGCGATCGACTATTCTGCGGACGGCATCCGTGTAAATTGTGTTTGTCCGGGTGTAATTGAGACCCCGATGACAACGTACAGCGAGGAAATTCGCGAGCACTTTCAGCCAGCAGTTGACATTGCCCCAATGAAGAGAATGGGGAAGCCAGAAGAGGTGGCAGATTCCATACTTTTCTTGTGTTCGACTCTTGCCTCGTTTGTGCAAGGGCATGCGCTTGTTGTCGACGGAGGATATGTAATCAACTGAATAGGAGGAGCTTCCTCACTCATGATAATGACAATAATAAAGAATGAAATGAAATGAACAACGTATCCGGTGTCATTAGCATTCGGCGCGCGAGAGGAGGTCGCAAAGTTTCCCAACTGCTTGCTAGGTAATGAGACATATGGAAGTGTGTAATCAGGGGTTTATATATGAAAGACATGACGGCCAAGTCGGCAATGTATAGCAGTCGCAATGAAGGTTCGTCACCTAGACCAACTTCTATAAAATTCTATCTCTAGTGTACTTTGTGTATCAATTACTTGCCACCTTTTGCCAATCGTTGTTTTTCTCCCATGCATATCCCGCCTTGAGTACTTTATGTTCCTGCCACAACCCTCCGACGATCTGCATACCGACCGGGAGCTTGACCTGAGGATCATCCTTGGCCGGAGCATACCCCACTGGTATAGACATCGCTGGGTGCCCCGTAACATCGAAGATTGCCGTGTTAATCGTCAAGCCCATGCTAGGCTTCAGAGACTCGACCGGTAGGCCTCGTGCTCCATGTCTTGGTGCAACAACAGGAGTGGTCGGCATTACAACCACGTCATACTTCTGGAGAAGATCCTCGTAAAGGTCCCGAAGCCTTCGGCCAATATTTACCGATTTGCCGTACAAATCGGGAAATTTTGAGGTAAGATAGAGGCCATTGATTATAACGTTCTTAGTGGCTGGAAAGGCTCTTTGGAAGCCTTCCTTCGTCCACGGGAGTCTCTCACGCTCCATCTCCGTCATGTAGAGCCCCCTTCTGCCATGTGCCTGTCCAAGCAGGGTCAAAGAGCCTGAAACACGCTGCTGAATGGTCCAGATAGCAGGCCCATGGTAATGGTCTGGAAGGGATACTTCCTCGACTGTTGCGCCAAGCTCCGTGAATTTCTGAATGGCCGCCATGACCGACTCTTTGACCGCAGGGTCCACGGTGCTGTGTTCAAATCCTTCCTTCAAGACTCCTATTTTGAAACCATCGAGCCTTGTAGCCTCAGGCTGAAGCGACTTGGCGAACGAGGTAGAGCCGTGTTTAGGACTCCCCAGGCATCGATCGTCAATGCCATCATAGCCGGCAATAGCGTCTAAGCAAGAAGCAACGTCGATGACATTCCGAGCAAGCGGGCCCGTGTGGTCATCAATAGCATCCCCGCTAGCAATACCCGTAAAAGGCACCAGCCCATACGTAGGCTTCAGGCCGACACCTGAGTTGACACCATTAGCTATGATTCGGGAAGACAATAATCAAGGCCACCTACAGCCACAAAATGCGGAGGGAACCCGAATACTCCCACCCTGGTCTCCGCCCAGCGTAATGTCAACCAAGCCAGCTGCAACCAAGGCAGCCCCTCCTGAGGTGCTTCCGCCAGCCGAGTATCCGGTTGCGAAAGGGTTCTCCACGATTCCTTGAGCACTCGTGAAAGACGCCGTGGAATGGCAGTAGTTCTCGCAAGTCGAAGTACCATGAATGTCAGCGCCAGCATCGAGAACTCGGGTCACAACCGTCGCATCCGTAATTGGTGTCCAAGAGGGAATGATATCACTTCCAAGCAACTGTGGTACACCTGCAACGGCAATGCAATCCTTCACACTAACGGTCTTCCCCACTAAAGGTCCTCCCTCCGCATTGCCCTTGATCAGAAACTTGTGAGCCCAGGCCTGCCCGAATACTTGTTCCTCTGAGGAAGGACGGTGAACATTCTGTCGAGGGTATCTATCTAGATCGGGTGCTGGCTGATAGTCTGGCAGGTTCGCCACGGTTTCGGCGCAGTCGTGGACGGCTGCCAAGAGGGTATGAAAGTCTTCCTCATCTTCTTGGTCAATGGAGAGGTCCAGACTGCGCAGAAGGGAGGTGGCATCCTCCCTCTTGACCGGATTGTCCCTGTGGATGATCTGTAAGGTTCAAATTCCTGGAGAGAGAGCGGGGATAGAATAGATAGAGGACTCAGTACATACGGCGAAATAGAAGTGAACAATACCGACATAATGTGTGAGCAAATTTGGACACAAAGTTCAATTCTACAAAGAGAAGAGTATTGAAATCGACCACAGCGAAGAAGAAAAGGCCTGGCATGTGCCATGTGCCAAGCCTTATCGCCAGCAGTTGGAGTCAATTACTGCATTTGGCAGGAACGACTGCCGTGACTCCAACATCCCCCTCCCAGGCAGCCGTCCGGGGCGGCCTGAGGGCCTGAAAGGCTAAGGGTCCAGCTTATCTGATTAAGGACTCTCATTGGATTTCTTCACTCCATTTCAACCCGCCAAACCCACCAAAACCCATCAGACATATCCATTTCGTACTTAGACTACACGTTCGATAACTGACGAAATTATTTGAATCACTAGCCTTATCGCATCGTTCACCTACCCCAAATACCCCTCGTATCGCAGCCATCGATAATGCACGATGCCGTCTACTCCAACTGATAGACTCCAACGTAGCACTCCAACGGAGATAATTCTCCGTAGGAATCCTTATCGGCCAGCAACTGAGCTCGACCTCATCGGCCCGTCATACTATCAGTAGCGATTATATTACTGGTGATAATGTTCCGCGGCCTGATCCCTGTGCATTAAATGCCTAACAATAAAAATGTAAGGGGTCCCGACTTTAGAGGTTACTCTGGTTACTCCTCGTTTCCTTCACCTGGACACCCACCATGGCGTACATCAATGAGGCCAAGGACCTCAAGGTCACTCCAGCCCCGGATGCCAGCGACGACATCAGAGTCGCCAGTTCCTCGGACATCATAACAGGCGATGATAGCCATGAAGTCTTCCAGCAAGCAGATGGCAAGGTCAATTTCCGCACCGTCAGCTGGATCCGTGCATCAGCTATCTTCCTGAAGAGTATTTCCCCAACTAGTCCCCTACAACTTGCATTTTACTCATCGGACATCTCCAGTGCTGTTCGCAACCGGCATCCTCTCCATCCCATCAGTAATGTATGATCTGGGGGCCTTCCCCGGTGCCGTCAACCTGGTAGGATGGTGTGTCCTCAATGCCTACGGAGCCATAATCTTGGGCAACTTTCGCACCTTATACCCACAATGTCACTCCGTGGCCGATATGGCCCAGCTCATAGGAGGCCGCATGCTCCGCGAAGTGGTCGGCTTCATGTTCATCGTAACATATGTGATTACCGCTGCATCAGGGATTATTGGCGTATCTGCCGCATTCAACGCCCTCTCCCTCCACTCCCTCTGCACAGTGTGGTTCTCATTCATCTCCACCATCATCATCGCGGGCTTTGCTAGCGTACGCAAATTCTCCCACATCGGGTGGCTCACCTGGGTAGGCTTCGTTAGCATCCTAGCCGCAGTTCTCATCGTCGTGTACGTCTCTAACCCCTTCTTCCCCAACACCACGACCACAAGCCTAACACCCCCCAGCATCGGCGTAACAACCCGTTCCCGCCCAGCCATAGCCCCCCAAGCAGGTCCCTACGACCTAGGCTACCGCGCAATCGGCTCTCCAACCTTCGCAGCAGGAATAACCGCCTCAGCCACGATATTCGTCTCCAGCGCCGCAACATCCGCCTTCCTACCCGTGATCTCCGAAATGCGCAAACCCAAAGACTACCCGAAAGCGGTCTACCTGTGCATGTCATTCGTAACATCCTCCTATCTCGCCTTCGCGCTAGTAATCTACGCCTGGTGCGGAAAATGGATCGCCTCTCCAGCCCTCGGCAGCGCCGGCACGACCATCAAACGCGTCGCCTACGGCATTGCCCTACCAGGCCTGATCGTCAGCGGCTCGCTCTACGTACACGTAGCAGCAAAGTACCTCTTCGTTCGCATCCTGCGCCACTCGCGCCACCTCCAAGCCAACACAGTCGTGCATTGGGGTACGTGGCTGAGCTGCACGATAGGATTAGCTGCCATTGCATTTATCCTGGCGTGTGCGATCCCTATCTTCACGTATGTGTTGGCACTAGTGGGTAGCTTGGGGTTTGCGCCGCTGGCGCTGTGTTTGCCGGGGTGGTTGTGGTTGTATAGTCATGGGGAGTACTGGAAGTCTGGAGGGGTGGTGAAGCGGGTGGTGTATTTGTTGCATGTGTTGTTGATACTCCTGGGCGCGTTTATGACGGTGGGTGGGACGTATGGAGTTATTGTGCAGATTATGGATGCTTATAAGGATGGGCAGATTGATGGGGTGTTTTCGTGTGCGGATAATAGTGGTTCTACCTGATGATATCTACTAGAGGAAATGTAAAACATACAGTAAGAAAGTATACATCCGGTTTGACATTGCTTTCGTGGTTCACACGGATCTAAAAGGATTTATTGTAGATTGTCATTCATCATAGGACTCGTCAAGTTATTGGGAGATTACAACCGTGGCTTGCTAACACAAATATCGCATTCCAGATGAAAAGTGACAATGAAATGAGGTAGAAAAAAAAAAGCAGAGAAAGAAACAAGATATTGACAAGACCCTCAAGCCTTGACCCAGTCATGATGTGTCAAAACTAACAGGAAAAAGAAAACCCCCGAATCAGCACGTCCTCCTGCAGAACCGGAGTCTGACAGATCCCTGAGCCCGTAACATCAATGGTCTGACTGCATGTTGTATCGTTGAAAACCTGCACGGAACAATTCGAGCCATTTCCCATTGTCGTTGTTATGTAGCCCAAGGAACCGCCGTTGAGGATTGAATCGTGGCAGGACAATGTTCCGTTTCCAGAAAAAGATGTTTCTTCGCCGGTGCATTGCCGGTTTTGATATAGAGATATCTGCCAGGTGGTGTTTGATGCGAATATTTGCTTCTGTGAGTGGGGGAAGGCGTGAACATGGAATAAGGTTGCCAAAGCGGGAAGTAGTATTTTCATTGTGTTTGGTCCGGATTCGATAAATTGTTGTTCTCTGATAGTGTGGTGTTGTTTTGTGGGCACTAATGGTTGGGTGGGATGAAAGTGTTATGTCTGGCCTTCAGCGTAAGCGACTAGACTCGGGTCTCGAAGTCGATGCGAAGGCGGGGGAGATAAAAGAATCACA